AGGTATTTATCCAAGGGATACAGGTGTGCTGTTTCAAAGGGACACATGCACCCCAATGTTTATAGCAGCGCTATCAACAATAGCCAAAGTATGGAAGGAGCCCAAGTGTCCATCGATGGATGAATGGATAACGAAGATGTGGTATATGTATACAATGGAGTATTACTCAGCAACCAAAAAGAATGAAGTCTTACCATTTGCAACTACATGGATGGAACTAGAGGGTATCATGCTAAGCGAAATTAGTCAGAGAAAGACAAATATCCTATGACTTCACTCATATGAGGACTTAAAGATGCAAAACAGATGAATATAAGGGAAGGGAAGCAAAAATAATATAAAAACAGGGAGGGGGACAAAAACATATGGGACTCGGAGAACAAACAGGGTTACTGGAGGAGTTGTGGGGGGGGGATGGGCTAAATGCGTGAGGGACATTAAGGAATCTACTCTTGAAATCATTGTTGCCCTGTATGCTAACTAACTTGGATGTAAATTTTAAAAAATAATTTAAAAAAAAAGAGTGGGTACATAACGAGCTGAGCCACCTGGGTGCCCCTGTTGCCGGTGTTTTCAAAATTTGCCCTTCTAGCAGGTATGCAGTGGTCTCTTGTTTTACTTTTCATTTCTCTGATGACATAAGTAGAGCATCTTTTCATATGTTTTCCATCTGTGTTTCTCCTCTGGTCAGGTGACTGTTCAGACCTTTTGCTTATTTTGTAAATAGGCTTTAGCCTATTTCTCAATGATGAGAATTATTGACCTTTAAGAGTTTTTTGTATATTTTGGATAAGTCTTTTTATCAGACATATTTTTTACAAATGTTTTCTCCCAGTTTTGCTGTCTTCTCATTCTCTTGGTAGTGTCTTCTGTAGAGCGCAAGTTTTTAATTGTAATGAAGTCCAGCTTATCAGTTATTTGTCTCACGGACCCTGCCGTTGGTGCTGTGTCTAACAAGTCATTACAGAGGTGCCTGGGTGGCTCAGTCTGTTAAGCATCCGACTTCACTCAGGTCATGATCTTGTGGTTCGTGGGTCTGAGCTCTGCATCAGGTTCTGTGCTGACAGCTCAGAGCCCGTAGCCTGTTTCAGATTCTGTGTCTCCCTCTCTCTCTACTCCTCCCCTGCTTGTGCTCTGTCTTTCTCTGCTCAAAAATAAATAAACAAAAATAAATAAATAAATAAAATAAAAAGTCATTGCAAACCCAAACTTGTCTAGGGTTTCTACATTATCTTCTATAAGTTTTATAGTTTTTATAGTTTTGAGTCTTCAATGTAGGCCTATAATCCAGTTTGAGTTAATTTTTGTGAAGGGGGTGAGGTCATTGTGTAGATTCATCTCTTTGCATGTGGATGGGTTGCTCCTGCACCACTGTCTTCTCTGTCCCACAGGTCCGTTGTTCTTTTGCCAGCATCCCACTGTCTTGACTACTGTAGCTTTACAGTAAATCCTGACTTCCATATTTCCTCTGCTTACATCTTCTGAAAGGGACTGTAGATATTTGGTATAATTTTTTCCTTAAATGTTTGGCAGAATTCAACAAACCCATCAGCAACACCCTAGACAGAATCCAGTGCTTTCTATTTTGGAAGATGACTAATTATTGATCTGAATTCTTTATTAGACACAGGCCTATTCAGATGGTCTATTTCTCCTTGTGTGAGTTTTGGTAGATTGTGTTTTTCAAAGAGTTGGTCTAATTCATCTAGGTTATCAAATTTGTTGGCATATAATTATTCACAATATTATTCTATTGTCCTTTGATGTCCACAGGATCTTTAGTGATGTCCCTTCTTTTATTTCCTATTTTAGTAGCTTTTTCTTTATCCTAGCCTGATTAGAGGCGTCTAAATTTCATTGATATTTTCAATGAACCAGCTTTTGGTTTTGTTGATTGTCTCTATTGATTGGCTTCTAATTAATTTCATTGGTTCTGCTCTAATTTTTGTTACTTCCTTTCTTCTTATGTTGGATTTAATTTGCTCTTTTAAAAAATGGTTTTCTGGGGCGCCTGGGTGGCTTAGTCGGTTAAGCGTCTGACTTTCACTTAGGCCATGATCTCGCGGTTCGTGGGTTTGAGCCCCGCGTCGGGCTCTGTGCTGACTGCCAGCTCAGAGCCTGGAGCCTGTTTCAGAGTCTGTGTCTCCCTCTCTCTGACCCTCCCCTGCTCACGCTGTCTCTCTCTCTCTCTCTCCTAGAAATAAATAAAAATATTAAAAAAAAATGGTTTTCTGAAGTGGAACCTTAGGTTATTGGTTTTAGATCTTTTTTAAAAAATATGCATTCATTGCTATAAATTTCCTTCTAAGCACTGCTTTAATGCATCCCATTAATTTTGATAAATTGTATTTAAATTTTCATTTTGTTCCAATTATTTTTATTAAAAAAATTTTTTTTAATGTTTTATTTATTTCTAGGAGAGAGAGAGAGACAGCGTGAACAGGGGAGGGTCAGAGAGAGGGGGAGTCACAGACTGAAACAGGCTCCAGGCTCTGAGCTGGCAGTCAGCACAGAGCCCGACGTGGGGCTCTAACCCACGAACCGCGAGATCATGACCCAAGTGAAAGTCAGACGCTCAACCGACTAAGCCACCCAGGCGCCCCTTGTTCCAATTATTTTTAAATGTCTGTTGAAATTTCTTCTTTGACCCATGTGCTATTTAGAAATGTGTTGTTTAACCTCTAAGTATTTTGGAATTTTCTTTTTCTTTTTCCTATTATTGAATCTAGTTAAATTTCATTGTGTCTGAGAGCATACATTGTATGATTTCTATTCTTTTAAACGTGTTAATGTGTTCTGGGGACCAGAATGTGGTCTATCTTGGTAAATGTTACATGTGAGCTTCAGAAGGATGTATATTCTGATGTTGATGGATGAAGTCATCTACAGTTGCCAAGTATATACATTTGACTGATGGTGCTGTTGAGTTCAACTGTGTCCTAACTGATTTTCTGCCTGCTGGGTCTGTCCGTGTCTGAGAGAGGGGTGTTCCAATCTCCAACTGGAATAGTGGATTCCTCAAGTTCTCCCTGCAGCTCTACCAGCTTTTGCCTGACACAGCTGGACCTCCTGTTGTTAGGGTACTACGTGGTAAGAATTGTTATATTTTTGGAGAGTTGATCAGTTGAGCATCTAATTCTTGATTTTGGCTGAGGTCATGACCTCACAGTCATGTGAGGATAGAGCCCCACCCTGAGCTCCACATTGAGTGTGGAGCCTGCTTAAGATTTTCTCTCTCTCAGGGGCGCCTGGGTGGCTTAGTCGGTTAAGCATCCGACTTTCGCTTAGGTCATGATCTCGCGGTTCGTGGGTTCGAGCCCCGCGTCGGGCTCTGTGCTGACTGCCAGCTCAGAGCCTGGAGCCTGTTTCAGTCTGTGACTCCTTTTCTCTCTGACCCTCCCCTGCTCACGCTGTCTCTCTCTCTCTCCTAGAAATAAAGAAAAACATTAAAAAAAAAAAAAAGATTTTCTCTCTCTCTCCCTCTACCCCACCCCTGCTTGTGCATGTACTTTCTCTCCCTTAAAAAATAAAGAATAAAAATAATAGGGGTGCCTGGGCAGCTCAGTCAGTTAAGCATCTTGATCTCATGGTTCAGGTCTTGATCTCACGGTTCATGAGTTCAAGCCCCCACATTGGGCTCACTGCTGTCAGCACAGAGCCCACTTCAGATCCTCTGTTCCCCTCTCTCTCTGCCCCTCCCCTGCTTGCATTCTCTCTCAAAAATAAACATTAAAAGAAAGAATAAGAACAGGAAAATTTTTAACCTGTACTTATTCTTTTTGTAATGCTCTTCTTTCTTTATATAGATATGCATTCTCATCTGTATCATTTCCTTCTCTTTGAGGAACTTTTAACATTTCAAACTGGGCAGGTCTACTGGCAACAAATTCCTTCAGTTTTGTTTGTGTAGGAAAGTCTTCATTTCTCCTTCACTATTTTTGCTTTTCAAATTTTTATTGTGACAAAATACATATTATATAAAATTTACCATTTGGACCATTGTTAAGTGTACAGATTGGTGGTATGAAGTGTGTTCATATTGTTGTTTGTCCCCAGCACCTGTCTCCAGAACTGTTTTTTATTTTTAATGTTTGTTTGTTTTTTGAGAGAGAGAGAGAAAGACAGAGTGCAAGTGGGGGAGGAGCAGAGAGAGAAGAAGATACAGAATCTGAAACAGGCTTCAGGCTCTTAGCTGTCAACACAGAGCCTGATGCAGGGCTTGAACCCACGAACCGCAAGATCATGACCTGAGCCAAAGTCGGACGCTCAAGTGACTGTGCCACCCAGGCGCCCCTCCAGAACTGTTTTTATCTTGCAGAACTGGTCTCTGTCCATAGTAAGCAGGAAACCCTGTCCCCTACCTGCTAACCCTGGACACCCCCTTTCTGCTTTCTGTCTTTATCATTTTGTCCATACTGGGTGTCTTATGTAAGGGATTTTTGTATTTTCTTTCTTTCAAATATTTTTTTAAAGTTTATTTATCATTGAGAGAGAGCGAGAGAGCGCACACATGAGTGCACAAGCTGGGGAGGGGCAGAGAGAGTGGGAGACACAGAATCTGAGGCAGGTTCCAGGCTCTGAGCTCTTAGCACAGAGCCCAATGCAGGACTTGAATTCACAAACTATGAGATCATGACCTGACCTAAAGTCAGATACTTAACCGACTAAGCCACCCAGGCGCCCCTTAATTCCCTTTTTAAAAAAGTACATTCTATTACTATTTTCTTTGCAGTTACCATGGGGATTACACTTTAACATCCTGAAGTTATAACATTGTAATTTGAGTTTGTAACTACATAACTTCAAATGTATAAAAATTCTGCTCATTTATAGATCCATCCCCACCTCTCTCAGTCATTGATGTTACAAAATTACATCTTTGTGTATTGTGCGTATAAAAAATAAAGTATTTTAATGCATTATTTTCCTAAATCATAGAAAACAAAAAAATGGTTACAAACACTTGTTATAGTAATAATAGATTTTATAGTTGTACTTACCTTTATTGAGACCATTATTTCTTCATAATGTGTTCTGTTTCAGGCTACAGGACTCCCTTCAGCACTCATTGTAGGGCGGGTCTTACGGTCCCACACTCCTTTTTTGTTTATCTGGGAATGTCCTGATTTCTCCTTCAGGTTTTTTTTTTTTTTTAATTTCTGAGAGAGAGAGAGGGGCAGTGTGAGCAGGGGAGGGACAGAGAGGGAGACACAGAATCTGAAACAGGCTCCAGGCTCCGAGCTGGCAGTCAGCACAGAGCCCGATGCAGGGCTCGAACCCACGAACCGCGAGATCATGACCTAAGCGAAAGTTGGACGCTTAACTGACTAAGCCACCCAGGCGCCCCCCTTTTATCGTTTTAATGTATTGGCTCACTGTCTTCTGGCCTCCACTGTTTCTTAGGGAAAATAGCTCTGGTGTCTTGCTGAGGTCACTTGTATGTGATGAGTCTTCTCTCTTGCTGCTTTCAACATTTGCTCTGTGTTTGTCTTTTGACAGTTTGATTATGTGTCCTGCTGTGTGTTTCTGAGTTCATCATGCTTGGAATTTGTTGAACATCTTAGATCTTATATTCATGTCTTTCACCAAATTTGGAACAATTTTAGCCATGATTTCGTCCTGCATTCTCGCCTCCCCTTTCTGTCTTGTCCCTCTGGGACACCCTCAGGCTGCACTGAGACAGTTGGTCTCCTTGACGGCACCCGACGGCTCCTGACTCAGGCTCTGCTCACTTCTCCTCAACTTGTTTTCTCTCTGTTCCTAAAATTCAGATTTCATCATTTCTGTTCTCAGGCACTGATAATAGAGTGAGAGTCAGATCTGCCTTTGAATCTCTCTAGTGACTTTTTCATTTAGATTATTGTAATTTTTAGTTCTGGAATTTCTTTTGGTTTTAGTGTTTTTAAAAATCTTTTAATTGTTCTTCCTAATTTGTTCCTACACCACATTCTTGACCTTCTCCACATCCTCCTTTAGTTCTTCGAGCATCTTTAAGACGGCTGTTTTAAATTCTTTGTCTAAATTATCATCTGGTCTTTCTTCAGGACAGTGTCTGTTGGTTTATTTTTTTTTTTTCCTTTGAATAGTCCATATTTTCTGTTTCTTTACATGTCTTGTGACTTTTTCTTAAACACTGGACAACTAGATTTTAATCTAAGAATGTGGCAACTCAAAGTCAGATTCTCCTTTCTACCCCCCTGACTTCGCTTGGCTATTGTTTCCTAGGGTGTTGGAGGCGGTCATTTGCTGAGGATCAGCCTGAGGTGTAAACTTAAGGTCTCCTCAGGTTATGTCTTTCCCTGGGCTTAAATGGTTTTTCAGATTTCCCCCCATATATGCAATTGCTTTTGCATGTCCTCGTCTCTAATGTCTAGTTCCCAGAAGGGGGAAAAGAGAAAAACGGTGGTGTGTGTGGGTGGGGGGAGAGGGCACCAGCCTTTTAACTCTCGAGTGGTCCCTTCAGCAGGACAGGGAGGTGCAGCAATCAGTGCTCAGAGCACAGATCGCCACCGTTCGGAGGACAGGGTCCGTACTGCAGTCTGTACCTGGAACAAATGCATGGCTGTCTGCCATGGGTCAGGGGTGGGGATAGGGAGCTACCACTGTGCCAAGAGCTGAAATTGGCCAGAACTCACCGCAGTTTGCGTTCAAGTCTGCAGCAGGCTTGCGGCTCTGCAGGCCTCCCTGGCCCTGCCGCAGCACCGTCACCCCTGTGCCTGGGTTTTCCTGGAGTGAAAAAGCTGGAGAGGGAGCTGGGCGGGTGGTGGTTGGAAGCCCCAGGAGAGCAATCCCCCCAGGTAACAGCATGCTCAGCATCACTGGTCTTTGCATGGGAAGGGGCACTGTGCCCTTGAAGGCCCCCTGACTCCTTATCCAGGGAGGGCACGTTGGAGGTGCTAGGGTCGGCCCAGGACAGCAGGGTCTTGCCCGTGGTGTGTTCGAGGGACCTGAGTATCTTGAAGTCCAGTCTTCCTAACAGCTGCCCAGTCCAAGGCCACCGCACGCAGACTTCCCAGTGACCCCCTGCATGCAGTGGTAACTCAGGTCTTCGTGCAGAATTCAAATCGCACTTCATCATGGCCTGATCCCCAGAGAAAACCTCAGTGCACAATAAGGCACATTTTGTTTTTTCTATTCAAACATTCATTCCTGTATTTAACAACGTATGTGGCCATCTTTCACATGCATACACAGTGACAGACCTAACTCAGTTAAAAAATTAACTATCAAGAGTATATTCATTTAAATTTTTATTATAGAAGTGTTTTGTGAATACATCCTCAGAGGAAAGTGACATGGCTTCCTGGCTTCTCCCCCTCTCCCCCTTCCAGACAGGATAATTTTGGTCCCCATTTCTTTGCATTTACACACTCACACACACGTTTGTTTCACAACTGCAGACGCTTCACAGAGCTCATGTCAGTACAAGTGTAGCTGGCTTTCTTGCCCGCAGTGTGACTTATGAGTATGCCAGAATCCGGAGGTGGAGAGTCACCTGGGAAACCTGTTAGGACGCGGGTTGCGGAGCCTCCCTCTCGGCCCTGTGCTGGCTGGGTGGGCGGTGCCTGAGGTTGTCCCAGGTGCTCACGCTGGGAACCAAGCCCTATCCAGCACGGCTGCTGCGCGTTTCAGGGTTTCGTAGGGTCATACACTCTGGGTCTAAAGTTCTCTCTTGTCTAGCAAGAGAGCGGGAACAGGATTAAAAAATAGGAGAGAGATGACTAATGTCTGGGAAAAGACAAGAGCCCCGAATAAGGGTCCTTGCCCCGTATTTATTAAGATCAGAAGGCTTGCAGACGTGATGGGCGTGAACAAAGAAACTGTGAATATCAACTTATGGGCATGAGGTAAAGGGGTTTTGGTCAATATAAACCAAAATCCTGGCACTGGGTAGAGGGGCAGGTGGTTGTTAATGGCAGAAAGGAGGCTGGCCGTGTGTTTATCTTAGCCTAGGGGATAGGACAGGGCAAAACACTTCAAGGTTAACAAGGCACTTTTCTTTTGTAAATTGGCTCCGTGCCAGGCAGAATGACCCACAGCCACACAGCAGCAGAGTGCAGAGGTCTGTAATTACCTGCTTAATTTGGTCCTTCCTTCCTGTGAAAGCAGCTTTCTGCTATGGGACTAAATTGGGGGACGCTTTTGCCCTGCATGCCTAATTTTGCTTACCTCATATACCTTTGTATTGGGAGCCTGTGTGCCCATTCCTATTTTGGGGGTGCAGCACCCCCTATTCTTGGGGTGCCTTTGCACCATCCTATTCTCGGGGTGCCAATCATGTTTACCCAAACTCCGGTGTGAGCATCCTATGGCTTTTTATTTCTCCATGCCTTGTTAACCCGTTGGTGTAAGCCCGGGGGTTTGAGCCTACCCGCACAGTAGAGCAGTCTGTAGGCCTGGAAATGTGGGGTCCAAGAGGATTAGCTACTTTTACTGATGTGGCCAAATTGAGCTCCAACAGTGCACGTGTCCTGTCTGTCCCTTCTCTATCACCACAGCAAATGTTGTGAAGACAGCTTTTATTTTGTCAACCTGATTTACATTTTAAAATACATATCTATTTATATAATCCTGAAAGAAGCTGAAAAATGAATTCGTCTTGGATTTACACACTGTGAGATGGTACGGAGTTCCCACATACCCCCCCACCCCCCACGGCACCCCGTTAACATACTACATACTTAACTATGGTTTCCCAGGTTGAAGTAATTAACACTGGTTCATTACTACTAACTCCAAATATTTTCCCACCAGCATCCTTTTGCGATCTCACATCACATTCAGGGGTGTTGTCTCCTTAGTCTCCTCTGGTCTGTCTGTGACTCCCATGTCCCAGACGGTTTGAGGGATCCAGGTCTGCGACTCTGTAGGATGTCCCTCAGTTTGGGTCTGATTGTTTTTCTTTATTATTATTTTTTAATGTTTTTTAAAAATTTATTCTTGAGAAAGAGAGGGGGCACGAGCAGGGGAGGGGCAGAGAGAGAGAGGGAGACACAGAATCTGAAGCAGGCTCGGAGCTGAGCACAGAGCCCAATGTGGGGCAGGAATGGATGAACCGTGAGATCACTGCCTGCGCTGAAACCAGGGGTTGGATGCTTAACTGACTGAGCCCTCCAGGCGCCCCAACTCCCTTTCTTTTTTAAACACAAAATGCGAAGGCACTGAAGGCTCAGATTCGCATGGTGGGAGTGCAGCTGGGACCTGATGGAGGAGGAGGCGCCCAGTCACTCTGCCCTCGCGCAGGCATCCCAGCTAATGATGGCCGTTTGGGCTCTGCTTCCCTTTGTCACTACATGAGGTGACTGGTCCATCCTAGTGTGCCCTCATATTAGCTTGAACTCTTGAGGTTATGAATGAAAGAAACTCAATTCAAATTATTTTAGCAAAAGATGGAGTTCACTGCTCAGAAACTTAGCAACTGAGAAGCACGCGATCCTCAGGGTCACCAGGTGTTCCCGTCCTTGCTACTGCCCAGCTGTCTCCTTTTGCTGCCATCAGAGGTGCCAGGATCACTGCTGGCAGCACATGCTGACCTCCTGGCCTCTTTTTGTCACCAGCTGAGGGTGACTCTCCCGGTGATCACTTCCACACAAGCTAAAAGAGTGAGCTTCACTGAATGCACCTGGATCACCTCTGCAGCCCCCTGAACCAATCCCTGGGTTGATGGGATTCCTTGAGAAGACAGTTCTTGGGGCGCCTGGGGGGCTCAGTCGGTTGAGCATCTGACTTCAGGTCAGGTCATGATCTCACAGTTCGTGGGTTCGAGCCCCGCGTCGGGCTCTGTGCTGACAGCTCAGAGTGTGGAGCCTGTTTCAGATTCTGTGTCTCCCTCTCTCTCTGATCCTCCCCTGCTCATGCTGCCCCTCTCTCTCAGAAATAAAAAAAAAAAAAAAACATTAAAAAAAAGAAAAGAGAGAAGACAGTTCTTGCTTGTACACAGTTTGAGGTCACAAGACAGCCTTGAGATTAGGGATTATGTTAATTTACGTCAGACCACATGAGAGGCACCTGGCGGCTCAATCCGATAAGCATCCGACTTCATCTCAGGCCATGATCTCGCCTTGCATCGAGTATGAGTTCAAGCCCTGTGTTGGGCTCCGTGCTGACAGCTCAGGGCCTGGAGCCTGCTTCGGATTCTGTCTCCCTCTCTCTGCCCCTCCCCCATGCGTGCTCTATTTCTCTCTCAAAAATAAAAAAAACATTAAAAAAAAAAGTCACACCACATGGGCTGAATAAAGAGGTATTTCTTCCAATGCTGATGTCTTTTCTAGCCTTTCCTTCCGGCCACTGCAGATGGGACCACTCTTCTCCACGGTGTTACCTGCCCCTCCCCCACCATAATTCTCTCAAAGCGCCTCTCTCTCTGCCTGTAGTTGGTTGGGGTTGGGGTGGGCATTGTCCACCAGTGCATCTGTGGAGAATTTAAAAACAATCATGAAACCAAAGTTTAATCTTTTTATCACCCACATGCTAGTAACTTTAAACACTGTGATAAAATGCTCTCTGAAAAACAACAAAAAAATGCCCAAGATATAGAACATTTTCAGCACCACAGAGGTTTCCTTAAAGAAATGTTTTAATACTTAGTATGATCCTAATACTCTGTTCACAGATGCTGGGAAAATCTCAGACACGTTTAGGGTCCCCTGGCTTTATGAGGGTGTGGGAAGGCCTTCTCCCGGGAGGGGTGTCCCGTCCCCCTGGGGACTGCTTACCTCCATTGAGTGGGCTCTTTCTCTTTTTCAACCATCCGTGGGGAGGGTTCGGAGCAGCCTTCCACCTGGGCCAGGCCTCAAAGCCATCAGCTTATTTCCCTGACTCAATGGCTTCATTTCATCACCATTTCCAAGGCCGTGCCAGGTGCCCAGTGATGCTCTAAGCTGTTTGGAGTTGGGTCTGTGGCTCCTTCCTTGTTGGACCATGTATCTGAGGCTGGATTTTCCTCATATAGTTCAAAACAGTATACTGCAACAGAGTGAATGCAGAAGCAGATACGAGAATCCAGCTGTCTTGTATGAATCTTTATAATTTTAAGATTTTTAAAAATGTAAAACAATTACTACTCTTCTCTGTCTTTTTGGGAGATACAGGTTTTTAAGAGTGTAATGTTTATTTTTAAGAGGAAAAGTATTCTTTTAAATTTCACATTTATAATACGGGACATATCGATAGCTATAACGCACATTAGCAGACTTTTTGAGGCCCTCAATCATTTTATTTTCCTCAATCATTTTTAAAGAGAATAAGGTGGTCTTGAGACTAAGAGTTTGGGAACCACTGACCGAATTTAACCTGACTGCAGCTCTAGAAGATGGTATCGTTAGCGCCACTTCCTCAACGGACATAAGGCCGGGGGCGACCTGCCCTCCGTCTCGCCATCGTTACGTGGCAGGGACAGATTTCAACCCCCAGCTTCGAGCTCTGGGTCCACGAAACCCACTCCTCTGGCAAGAGCACCACTTGGGAGCCCACTCGACTCTCCGAGCCACGCTTCCTCGTTTGTACAGCGCGGACAGGGCTTCCACCTCATGGGACTGGTGGGGTGATTCTGCGTCGGGTAACGCGCAAACGGTGATATTAATAACCCGTGTGAGATGAATCACATCTCACTTTACATAAAAGGAAGCAGGGGTTCCGAGCCGCCGAGTGCCTTGCGGGGGCTTCCACACCTCGGCCGCCCAAGGCCCACAGACCACGCCCTCCGCCGACCGCCGTAACCCCCTGCCTGTCTGGACGTCACCTTCCCGCTTGCCGGCCCGTCTAGACACCCGCTGCCCGCCCGCTGGGCCGCCCCCTCCCCATCACGCAGGCCTCCGGATCACCACTACTCCCGGCCAGGCTACTCCCGGGCGCCGAGGAGCCGCCGGCTCCTCCCGCTTGCCTCACTTCCGGCGCCCGGGGCGGAAACCACCTTTCCGGTTCTCGAATCCGCGCTCCGGAAGTGAGTCATGTGCCAGCACCCAAAATGGCCTCCGGCATATCCGCCGTAGTGGTTAATGGAGGAGAAGCATGCGCAAACCCGGAAGTTGCCCGGCTTGGCCATGGCAGCCCCCGGGGGCGTGGCTTCCGGCGACCAGAGCCTGGCAGTCGGGGCGGCGGGGTCGAGGGGAGGCCGTGGCTGACAGGCGCTCCTCCCCCGACGGCGGCGGCTGGTGCCCAGGCGGACCGGCGGCTCCCAGCTCGCGGCCGCGTGAGGCGCCAGGGCCGCACCGGGGGATGGACGAGGGGAAGATGGACGAGAATGAATGGGGGTACCACGGGGAAGGCAACAAGAGCCTGGTGGTGGCCCACGCGCAGGTGAGCGGCGGAAGGTCGGCGAGGTCCCGGGGCATTACGCTGCCCCGGGGTAGTTCCGCATCCTTCCAGCGACACTCCCCCACCCAGGGTCGGGCCCACGACACCCTGGCACCCCCTCCCCCTCACCGGGTAATTCCGCGTCACCCCAGCAACACTTCCTCTCCCCCCCGTTGGATCCAGGACCCCTTGACACCCCCCCACCCCACATTGGGTCCAAGATCACTTAGCACCCCGTCCCCCGCCCCGGGTTGTTCCGCGTCTCCTCAGCAACACTCCCCACGCCCCCGGGGTCGGGCCCACGACCCCCTGGCGCCCCTTCTTGGCCCCGGGTAGTTCCGCCTCCCCCCAGCAACACTCCCCATTCCCCCAGGGTCAGGCCCATGACCCCCTGGCGCCCCCTCCTCCGCCCTGGGTAGTTCCGTGCCCCCCCCCAGCAACATTGCCACCCTCATCCGGCTCGGTGCGTTTCCCGCCCCCAGCGCTCCCCTCCCCCACCCAGGTCCGTGCCACGTCCCCGCAGCACCCCTTGCCCCAGCCCCGGGAGGTGCCGCCTCCGACTGCCCAGCCGCGGGGGGACCGGGAACCGGGGTGGGGGTCCCGGCAGCTCTGGAGCTTGAAGAAGGCAAGAGCCCCGGATGGTTCTCCCCCCGCACGGAGGGAGCTCATCCTCCGAGACTCGGGGAACTGCTCGCTGCTGCTGCTGCTGCTGCTGCTGTTAGTAACGGAGCGTGGCCCGCAGGTTCTTCTCCAAAATCTGTCTCTTAATTTAGCGAGGTCTGGACTTTCAGAAAGCCCCGTAGGAACTCACAAGGAGGGGAATCCAGGACGAGAGGCCTGTGGATCTGTGAGAAGCCCCGGATCTCTGACATTCTGCTGACACAACCAGGCTGGAATGCGGTGGGCAGGGGAGGAAGCCTAGGTGTCACCGGTGGGTTAAGCGCTTGGGCGTCGGAGTCACGCAGCGCTGGGCGCAGTCCCAGTTCTGCTGCCGCCTGGCCCAGGCTCGCTTTCTGCCTTTGCAGAGTGGAACTCGTCACGAAATCCCAGGGGCAGAGTTGGTACAGGAAGAGGTGAGCAGGGGCTGGGCGAGTCATGCCTGGCAGGCGAAAACTGCCCTCCCCTGGACTCGGGTTCGAGCCCTGACCCAGGCCAGCAGCTCCCGCGGGCCGGGGAGGGCGCTGGGAGTGCCTGCTTGGCTGTTCCCGAGCTGGGCGCGCTGGGTCAGCCGCAGGGCAGGCCGCAGCTGCCCAGGCGCCCCGTTCTGCCTGCGCATTTTGTTACCCACTGGCACCGTGAGGAGGGCGGAAGAGCGGAGACTGCGGCTTTGCTCGAGATCTTTGATGAACGGGGGACAAGGCGTGAGCTTTGTGTGGTGGGCCCCTGGTGCTTCAGGGGTGGGTGGAGCACGGGATATTCCAGCACGAGTCCCTTTTGTTGCCGGGTTATTGTAGTGACCCCTGAACTCTTTCACAGAACAAAACGGTGGTCTTCCCGTTTCTTGGCGGGATGAGTGGTGTATCTTAGTGTTACGTAATAGTGAGGTTTCGTTTAGAGCGAAGCCGAGGGACCAAGTTTCAGAAGGTGTGTCAGGTGACGGAGCACGTCCTGGATCTGCAGTGAGAGTACATCAGGCTGGGAGATGGGTCCGAGGACCACCCTCCAGGGCAGCCAGGCCCCTCCCCCACCGCATAGCTCTGGCTCTTAAGGCTTGTGTTTCTGTTTCCTTTCCCTTTTGAGGTCAGCCATCAGGCTACCCTAGACCTGTGCTCTTCATGCTTTATCTGTTTATTTTACAGTTTATTATTTTGCGAGAGTGGGAGTGCACATGCCTTCCTGTGGGGGAGGGGCAGGGTAGGGAGAGAGTCTCCAGCAGGTTCACGGTCAGTGTGGAGCCAGTCTCAGGGCTCGACCTCATAAACCTCAGGATCATGACCTGAGCCAAAACCAAGAGTCTGCTCTGACTGAGCTGCCCAGGTGCTTACCCCCCACCCTGTGCTTTATTTTAAATCCAGATTTGCTCTGTGCTCCTTCCCGCTGCTTGTTAGCGCCTCAATTAAGGCAAGTGGTCTTGTGGGGAGGGTGCTTCCGCCAAGTGACGTTTCTGGCTGCCTCTTGGATGTGGGAGGCCTTTGTGCTTGGCCTGGGAAGGAGGACAGAGCCCGACGGCAGCTTCTCAGCGCCCTGCTGTGCCCAAGGAGAGGGCGAACACGTGTTCCTGCTTCCCAGGCCCCCCTCGATCGCCCCAAGGTAGAGGGCTGCCTTGCGGGGTCTCCTCGGGGTCGGGAGCGGGTCGCTTTCTCGATGTGCAGAGCCGAGAGTCCTCAACGAGTGGCAAGGCTGTCTTCCCGCCTTGGCAGCGTCAGGACACACGGTGCCTTCAGGCGGCTGGTCCCAAGGCCCACGGGGTGGCAGACAGCCTTCCGTGCTGGGAGGCCTGGAGGAGCGTGGCACCTGTAGGCTGTGGCCTGGCCGTGGAGGAGCGGAGTGCAGGCCGCCGGAGGGCTGTGGCGTGGGGACACGCTGCGGCTGGGCTGCGGGAGACCTGAGGGTAGGCCAGCACCCAGCAGGGTGCCCTCTGCTTCCCCGTCGTCCCTCCTACCCCATGGTGGGCCAGGTGCCCGCTGTCTGCCCCCTCGGCCCAGTGCTCAGCGCCCCTGGGTCCAGCCGTGTGGTGTCACCCTTCCCAGGCTCAGAGCCCCCCCCCTCCCCCCCCCCCCCCCCAGCTGCTCCGAGGCCGTGGCCTGCCCAGTGGGACTCCAGGCACCCATCCCGTGGAAGGGTCTTGGTGTCTCCCCAGTGGGCGTGCACTTTCCTGCTGCAGCTCAGGGACACTGTTCCAGTGGCAACACTTCTGCTCACTCGGAGCCGTGGTCAAGCCCGTGGCTGTCTTCACGCGTGCTGCCGGGGTTTCTTGCCACGCTTGTCCATCCGTACTCGCCACCCGGACCTCGTTGGGGGGACTTGGGCTCCGCGCTGTCCTGGGCAGGTCACCGTGAGTCTAGTTTGTCACCCTGCCTCTGGAGTGTCTCCTGTGGTGGGAGTGAGCTGCCCTCGCCTCGGGGTCATCACACTCAGCAGTGGGAACGTGTTCCTCCGCGGATGGAGGTGACGCGAAACACTTGCCAGCGAGGATCGCCTACAGAAGCAGGAGCAAAACGGCCGGTTTCTGCCTCCTCAGGTGTTCTGGCCTTTCTGGGACCCGACCAGGTGGCGGCTCCTCTGTTTCTGTGGTGGTTTTGAGGCTCTGGGTGTCCGCCTGGGTCTTGAGGATGTGCGGTCCCAGCAGTCGGGGGCCGTCTGACTCGTCTCGTGTTTAGGATTTCTGGTTTGTGCGTCAGACTTCTCAATGGGGAGCTTGCAAGCAGGTGAGGGTTCTGGTTTTCTTTCTGTGTCTCCTCTCTCTTGAATGTGGCACATTCTCAAGTCCTGGGCCACTCCCTTCTGTAATTCTCTGCTGTATACAGTTCAAAGAATCTGAAGTTTTTGCTTGTGGTATTTATTTAACAAGTAACTTATTGTTTGGAATTTTACTGTTTGTCCAGGTTGATGTTCGGCCAGCTGAGGCCGCGTTAGAGGCTCTGCACGGGCCCTGTGATGGTTACCAGCGTCACCCATGGTCAGGGGGTCAGGACTTGTCCTTTCCAAATGGTACCCGCTGGTGGTTTCAGCCCTGACCTTGGTGAGCTGCACTCTGCCCTCCCGGGGTGTGTGTGGCGGGTCCAGGCCTGGTCTCCCCAGGGGGCCGGGGGCTTCTTTGCCCGCTCCTGTGCTTCCTCTTCCTGAGTCAGGACAGCGGCTGCCCTGCTGACGGGAAGGCTTCTGTGTCGCCTGCGTCAGGTCCAGACTGTACCACAGGGTCACCTTCCTCACTGTGTGTATTTGGACACCTACTCCATGATCATGTGGCCCAGGAGGGTCAGGGGCCTTGAAGGCCACCCACAGACTTGCGAGTGCATCTGTGTGACACGCTCACTGCGTGCTCTGTGCAGCCGGGGTTTGAGTTACCAGTCCTTCTGCTTCTCTCCGGGCCGTTGGCCTTTCCGTCCCTGCAGGGGGCGCCGAGCGCCCTTTCCACCGCGGCCCCCAGCTGTGCCCCCACGTGCCAGCCGGGCTCACGCCTCCCTGACCTCACCGGTGCTGTGGCCTCTGTGGGTCCAGAGACGGCAGCCTAGGACCGGGAGGGAAAGCGTCCTGCCCGGTGTAGCCGCGTCGTCATCTGCCGTGCTCACGCGTCCTTCCTGTCTGGCCCCCCTCCGGGCCGCGTCTCTGGGCCGTCCACTCCGTGTGAGGCTGTCAGCCCAGCGCCTGTCCTGGCTCTTGTCCCCTCAGCACCCGCTAGGCTGGTGATGCCCCTGGCGTTGGCGGGGCGGCCCCTGAGGGGTAGGTCTTCCTGCTGTGCTGTTTCTCGCTCTTGCTCTGTCCCTTGGAAGCTGCCTTGTCTCCTCAGCCTGTCCTTGGCCAACTCGTCGCCCCGCCCCGGAGGAAGACCCA